CAACGAGCTGTGGAAGGCAAAATAGTTTAAATCTGTAGAGTTAGTTACCAGAACACTATCAGTAGTTAAAGTCTGGTTTTGGTTGTTTTTTAATGCTTCCATCTTCTGCTCTTTAGAGGAAGTCCAGGAGATATTATCCCACCAGGCTGGCGATCACTCTGGCTGCAGGAGTCGCCAGCAGCTCCTCCTCTAACCTGGCTTCCAGTGCTGGGACTGGAGATGCAGGTTTCATTGTGGTGGAAACCAATTATCGTATCTATGCCTACACAAGTATGTGTGAACACCTCAAGACTTTTCACATCTAGTCTCTAAGTAACCTAAGTAACCAGATTTCTTTTGATTAAGAGGGTGTCAGGATGGTTGAAGCTCCATTGTAAACTGACCCTGACTTCCTTTAACTGTTTTAATGCACATTACGCAGCTGTAGTCAGAACTGAAACCCAGCAGCATTGTTTCTGTACAACGTGCAGACAGATGTGTGTCTGAGCTGCAGCCCAGAGTGGAAGCAGGGCCCAGCAGCTGGTCTGGTTGTGTTCATCAATACAGTAGCATTTTCCCCTTTGTTTCCTTTGAAAGGATGCACAGCTGTCATACAGAGCCTGTCCAGACTTGTGTTTGTGTGACTCTCACAGATTCAGAACTTCAGATTGCTCTGGTGGCTCTCTTCAGTGAAATGCTCTACCGCTTCCCCAACGTAGTTGTGGCTCAGCTGACGAGGGAGTCTGTGCAACAGGCCATCGCCAACGGGATCACTGCACAGCAGGTACTGCTGCACTGGGCTCACATCCTCTTTCACTCCCCTGTACTGATGAGCCACAGCAAAAGCACAAACTGAACATTAGATTGGAACAGACACAGAAAGTAATTATGACAGAACATTAGACTTTCACTCTGTATGCGTTGCCACCACAGAGCTGTCACCTTCATGGCCTGATGTTACAGAAGAAAGTGAACACTGTGTGAAAGAATTAGCTCACATAAACCTTTGATTTCCTCTTTGGAAACTTTTAGTAACAACTTCAGGATCACATGTCTTCATGTCTTCCCTACTTGATTTTGTGTGAACACACACCTGAATCCAGAGCAGCGAATTGTCAAACAGTATATTCATTGTTTTTAAATGAGTAATGTTTAGTTTTGTGATTCATCTAATTGAAGCCCTATTAAGGAACGTTTTATTTTTAGAACGTCCTGATGTGTAAAACCTTAAAAGAGGGTGCACTTGTTTTGACATTGATGCGTACGGCACGAAGCGGCGCACACAGGCCACAGAGAAAACGTACATTTACAATCACGGGCAATTTATTTAAATCTAAAATGCCACAGCAAACCGGGCAGGTGCAAGTATACCCACCGCTGTGGATAACTCCAGCCTGGGACAGTCTGGTCCCTCTGAAGGAGACTGGCTCCAGAGCTCCAGAGCTGAGCTTTTACATTTTGTGTTTCTCTTCTGTTCAGATTATCCATTTTCTGAGGACCAGAGCTCACCCTGTCATGCTCACTCAGGTACAGCATTGATTCTTTTTGCAGTTCAGTCCAGTAAAACGAATAATGAACAGGTTAATCACTCTGCAGAGTGTCCTCATCCTCTGTTGTGCTTTTAGACCCCAGTGCTGCCTCCAACTATAACAGACCAGATCAGACTGTGGGAGCTGGAGAGAGATCGCCTGCAGTTCACAGAGGGTGAGCATGTTTGTCACGTGTGTTCAAAACAACACTTAACACTACTTGTTTATTTCTTGTCTTCATAAATTTGTTGTAATGTACAAATCCACTGTGCTAATTACAGGCGTGCATCATGCTAACAAGTAGTCTGCTGCTCTCACATATTGTTTTCAGTTTCACATTAAAACCTGTGGTAAAGGTGAAAAATACCGTGAAACATCTCCCTGCAAACTGTCGCTCACTCAATGTTTTCTCCTTTTTGGACTGCTCTGTGTAAATGAGATTGTGTAGGACAATCCCAACAGTCATTTTAATCCACTGTTCTTTCTTCTTCTTTCTGATGATGCCCAGTTCACAATCAGCAGGTCATCTGGGTGATGCCTAGTTGCCTAAATGCATTGTGTCGCTGCCGTGTGATTCAGTCATATGCTTTAACAAGTAACAGGTGTATCTAATGAAGTGGCAATAAACAGCAGACTGTGTACATGTACTTTCATCAGTGAGTGGTTCCTTGGCGCTCGCTGTAACGTCTGAACTAGGGATGCAACGATACCAATTTTTTCAAACCGATACGATACCGATACTTGGATCTGAGTACTTGCCGATACAGAGTACAAAAAC